GGGATTAAAGGCATGTACCACCATGCCTGAATCTGAGCTTCTCTTTACCTGAAACTTGCTCTATACCAGGCTGGCCTTGAACTCATATCTTCTTGTCTTTGTCTCCTGGATTAAAGACATATTTGTATACCAGCCAAATCACAAAGACCTAGAAGGTCTTTGGATGTGATCTCTTTCCAGAACAGCCATGTTCTGAATTCAATTTCCTTCACAGGCTTTTATGTAATAATACTCAAGTGTTGGGACTACAGTTATGTATCACCATATCCAGCTACCCCATTAAAAAAAATCCTTCCTGTGCTGGTTTGAATAACAATGGCCTCCATAGTCTTATATATCTGAATGCTTGGCCAACAGGGAGTGGCAGCATTTGAGAGGGATGAAGAGGTGTGGCCTTGGTGGGGTAGCTGTGGCCTTGTTGGAAGTGTACCAGTCCCACTGTCTCTCTCTTCCTATGGCCTGTGGATCCAGATGAAGACTGTCAGCTACCTCTCCAGCAACATGGCTTCCGGCATTCCACCACACTCTCCACCATAATGACAATGAACTAAACCTTTGAAACTGTAAGCAAGCCCCAATCAAATACTTTCTTTTATATAAGAGTTGTCATTGCCATAGTGTCTCTTCACAGACAGTAGAACACTAAGATACTTCCAATACTCTTTCCCAATTTGTTCCCCCCTCTGCCTAAAATATTACTGTATCTCCTTTATAAAATGTCTTCTTTTTATGACATTTTTAGCTCTCCTTCCTATCTCCTTTCATCTTTTTCAATATGTAGTATATATAGCATGTAATCCAGCTAGGCATGGTGGCAAACCTGTCATCCCAGCATTCACAAGGCTTAGGCAGGAGGAGTATGAGTTTGAGGCTAGCCTGGTCTACAAATGAAGCACTGACTCAATACCAATCAACCTAAACCAAAACAAGAGAATGTACAGCATAATCACTGGTCCCTGCTCCTTGAACTTATCCCTGGAATCTGGCTAATGCTATGACTACTGCGGAGAAACTGATCTAAGGTTTCCATAGTCCTACATATTCTGCTCTCTTGTGGACCCCCAAATCACAAATCACAGTTTCTTACTCCCCACATTGCTGCACCATTTTACTTGATCCTTTCTAATCAATTCTTTGCTGAGTAAGTCTTTCCCATTTCCCTTTGTTCCTATTCATTAACATGTCCATATTTAAGTCTTTTTGAATACTCCTCTTTGCATCTTGGACATTTTATGGACTCCTGTAATTACAACCCTAGCTCGCTTCAATGCTTATAACATCCACATTTCCTCTCTGGTCTTAGTCTCAAATTGTCCTCATGCTTATGACTTTCCTTCTTGATCCACACATTTTGTTTCCAGATTTCTAACACCAAGTAAGAAGGTTTTTCAATTGCAATTCAAAATCAACACACCAAAGCCTGCACCCAGGCAGGCCTGCTAGTGCATGCCAGCAGTGAGAGGCAGTCAGATCTCTGTGAGTCTGAGGTAGGCAGGGCTATACAGCGAAAACCTATCTCAAAAACAAACACAAGCAAGCAAACAACAAAAAACCTCCTACACAATAATTGCAGTTCTCCTTTCTTGACGTATTTGTCAATGAAAACTGTATCTTTGGTGTCAAGGTCACCTCTGGGAGTTCACCTTTTTTTTTGTGGGGGGAGGTTGATGGGGAGACAGGATGTCAGTCATGTAACCCAGGCTGGCCTTGAACTTTCTCTGTGGTTTGGCTTCTAGTTTGTGATCCTACCACTGCTCCCGCTTCCTAGCTGCTAAGGGATTACAAGCATGTGCTGCTTTGCCCTCCTGTCAATGATTATTTTAGGATAGATGATTTATTTCTATGGTTGAAAAGCTAAAACCAAGCCAGCATTTGGGAGATGAAAAGAGGAGGATCAAGACCGGGAGTTCAACTTCATTCTCAACTACATAGTTAAGTTAGAGGCCAGCCTGGGCTATACAATAATAACACAACATTTAAAAAAAAAAAAAAAAGTTGAAGGTATAGGAAATGGCAAACATTGAGGCCTAATTTCCAGTCTGGTTTACTCTCTATTATATTTTTTCTTTTCTTTCTTGTATATTGTCTCTTCTCCTCTTAACACAGAAAGAACTGAATTCTAATGGTACACTTCACTGTGATTCCTTTTTCCCTAAAGATGCATTCAGATATTTCCCTGACAGTATGTAGAGGTCCTTCATACTCGTTAGTAAATCATACTGCTTTTGTGTACATCATAAATCATACTCATTCTTGTTCTTTATTGACAAATTCTTTGTTTCTAATATTTCAGTACCATAACCAATTTTCAAAGAATAACCTTACCTGTATGTTCTAAATGAGTATTTAAGAAAGATTCATGGGAGTGGGATTTGGTTTTAAAAATTATTTTTTCTTCAGAGAATCCTGAATTCTTACTTTTTTTTACCCATTCATTCTCGGTTTAGCCTTAGTATTAGATCCAGATAACTCAGAAAGCTTGCGAGGTTAGTTTTGCTAAAGGGCTGCTTTGATGTTTTCATCATCCAGCTGGAAAATCTCCAGCAGCCATCCTCGCCTACTATAGCAGCACAACGTTCTTGGCCCCTGTTTAAAAGTCATGCTGTTATCTGCCCAGCACAGTCCCCTTCCCAAGTTCATCTTCTTGGTCCAAATCATGGCTAGATACGGCACTTCCCTGCTGTCTAACAGGTGCTCCACATCACTGGCCGAAGCCTTCACCTCTGCCCTAGTCTTTCATTAGAACATTACCTCAACATGCTTTCTCCTACCAACCACACCCTATCAATTCCCACAGTCTTGCTCAAATGCACACACAAACACACATACCATCTACCATGTACTGCCTCCATGAGGAATGACTCCATTCAACCTTTCCAAGGGCTTTTATTTAAAGTAATTACAGAATATTGACCTTAAACGCCTGCTCTCATAGGTCTCTGGGTAGCTTACTTCAAGGTAAGATGTTCTAAGTTCTTTGAAGGTGTCTATACATTATATTCTCAGTGTGCTCTTCCTGGTATTTCTTTCTACAGATTGCTCTCAAAATACTTACTAAAAGATTGTTTATTGAGAGAAATCAGCCTTTGGGTTTGACATCTGTATTCCAACGAAGGAAAGGACACAGAGGAAAACAAAAAAGCAGTTCTTATCTTTATAAAACTTGCACATGTGCAGCCAGGCCTGAACACATGCATGGATGTTCTCTCCTTCCCCACTATAGGCTGATTCAAATATTCTGTCCATCTGTTCATTTTAAAAGCAGTTACAGGATCAAGAGCAACAAAAGTAAGTAAATCTCAGAGGGTCCTTTATTCCCTCAAAGGTCTATGATGTTGAAAGCCTTGTTCCAGTCAATGGGACAAACACTAGAAGAGTCCTAAGGGGAAGACCAGGGGAAGACCAGGTAGAGACTACAACTGAAATGTGAGGCATGAGGCTACTCTCAGTCAAAGGTGGTGATCAGTGTATTCTAGAAAAAGTCTAGGTCCAGTGTCAGGGACTCAGAGTTAAAGTCAGGTACTTCCTTCTAACTAGGTATTTTTCCCACCTAGAAAAAAACCAATAAAACACAGAAGTCTCTCATCTTAACTTCTTATCCCAACTCAAGTAGCAGAAAGAACTGTGAATTTCAGAGAAAAGGCTGTTGACACCATCTTTTGTGGGATCACCTCCTCACCTATTTGGACTCAGCTCTGAATTGAATTGGAAAGGTAAACCTGCCAGTCAGTTTGTGCTTGACAATGCAAAGGAACATGGAACAAGTTTCTCATATTGCCTGACCATGGTTATCTTCTACTCACACCATAAGAAATAGCCTCTAACCTTATGTTAAGATCAGACAGACCTTCCTTTTCACTTCATACTGTCCATCTCCTCAAGTCTGAATTCTAGCCAAGCCTGTTAAGTAGTGACTATAAATCAGGCTTTCCCAAAGCCCAGACAGAGTTCTTAATCTTAATGGGGACCCAACTTTCATCTCCATTAGGTCTCCAACTTTGACCTCATTTGACCTCTAACTACCAACTGCCACTGCTGAGACCAGACCACACTTCTTTTGGAAACCCCGTGTCCTCCTGTAACTTCCATGACACAGCCCTTTGTTTTTTTTTTCTGCCTCCCCCTCCTTGCTGTCTTTCCCAAAACTCCTGCTTTCAGCTCTTATGGCCTCTGCCTTCTTTCATCCTCTTTTTACATTTTTTTTTTCTGATCAAATTGTCCAACCCTATGGCTTCTACTTGTTACTCTGTACTGATTGCCCCAAACTCATGTTTTCCTAGCTGTGGATCTACTTTTCAGTTTCCAACTATTCTAGCTGGCTTTCTGTTGCTAGGCAAACATCATAACCAGAAGCACCATGGGAAGGAAAGTTTTGTTTGACTTCAGTAAGGACTCTCACCATTTGGATCTGAGGAGAGTCTAGAATGTTTTGAATAAGGGGTTTCATATAGAATATCCACTTCTCAGCTCCTGCCCACTCTTGTTGCAGAAATGCCTCAATCTGTTGAAGATATTTATTGAGCCCTTACTGAGAAGTCCTGCACCCAGAGCTTTTACTCAGGTTCCAGTCTTAGCAAATGGAGTCAAGCCTGTACTCCTGTACCAGAACAAGGTACCTGTCCGAGGTTTCTCTGGGTAGTTGTGGCTGTACTAGAACTCACACTGTAGACCACATGGAGTAGACTATGGAGTAGACCTCAGAGATCTGCCTAGCTCTGCCTCTTGCGTGTTGGGATTAAAGGAATATGCCACCACAACCCAGAAGTCTTCAAGGGATTTGTGAGGACTAAAAAACATATACTACCTTGGCACATAGTGGGCATTCAGTAACTACTGTCATCACCATCATTTTTTATTACTAAGCTACACTGTCTCCTTTGCCCTGTGGATTCCTCCTTTCTCTTGATGAGGCGTGGCATGGAATTAAATAGGGGGCCCTTCCACTCATCCCAACCCCCAAGAGGCTCACTTTGGCCTCACAGGCTGGAGAAAGCAAGTACCTCTCAGTGTCAGGTAACCATAAGCCAGGTTGGCTAAAGCCCGTGCACATTTCCAGTGTTCGTTTCCAAAAATAATCTGAGAAAGGATGAAGCACCGAATCAGCTCCTTGTTTGCTTTGGTATTCTGCAAAGAGGGGAAAGTCATTTAAGGGATGGAAGACAGGATTGGGCCCACTAGAGAGCAGGATGGCATTGGCATGGTATCTCTGTTGTCATTATCTCCATCACACTGCTTCTGGTTGGCTCCACCTTATACATATATCCTAAAACCAAGCTGTTCTGATTTCTACTTTGAGTCCTTTGTCTCTCAGCCGCCTCCATCTTTTATGTGACTCAACAGTACACCTTCCTAGCTGCTGCCACTCTTGTCTCCCACACTCTGTCTTCTAATAGCCAGAGACCTTGCTTTAACACTTTGTCATGGAAGACTTTCTTTACAGATAGAGTGAATCATACAACTTTATCAGTTTCCTGTTTCCTGTCATTGTCAGTCTTACTCAAGCCTATAACATCTTCATACCCTCACTTTCTATTACACTGAAGAAAATCTGTATTATTTCATCCATTAATATCTCACAGGTAGCTCTAAAAGATGTGAGATTGGAAACAACCACAAGCCAGGCACAGTGGTGCACACCTGAAACTCCAGTACTCAGGGAGGCAGAGGTAGGTGGATCTCTGTGAGTTCAAGGGCAGCCAGTGTTACACAGAAACCTTGTCTCAAAAAAACCAAAATAAGAAAAGAAAAAGAAGGAGAATACAAAATCATTATCACCAAATATTAGCAGCAATTTCTTAATAACAATCATGTCATATGCCTAATATTTTGATATTTTTCAAAATTGTTATTGTTGTTTGGTGTTTTCAGATAGAATCTTACTATATAGCTCAGGCTGGCCTTAAAGTTATGATCCTCCTGCCGCTGCCAAGTACTGAGTGCTACCATGCCCAGGTCATCTTTAAAAAATATTTAAGCACAATTGCTTTGTAAGTATGGTATTATTTTCTTTCATAAGATAATATTTGCTTGCCTTGTTTCCTGATGCTAGCACACCTACATAGTTCAATTCATAAAAGAATATAAGTGACAATTTCCTAATTCTCCATCATTGCTCCCTAATATGTTGGAATAGTTCTCTAAAATGAAATTCCTCAGGACTGGTTAAATGGCTAAGTAGATAAAAGCACTTGATGCCTAAAAATGCAAGCTTCGTGATCTAAAGTTAAAACCCTGGATCACATGTAACAGTGGAAAGAGAGAACAGATTCTACACACTTGTCCTCTGATCTCTATATGTGTACCATGTTGCATGCACACGTGCACACACACACATGTAGTCATCAATAATAATAAATTAAAAAAATAAACTTCCCCATCTACTTTTTTGGCCACCCCATAGTATAGTTTGTAATGGAAAGGCAGGATACAAGATCATTCTTTTCCATTTGCCACCAATTTTCATAATAAAAGTTCGTTCATGAGCATCCTCAAATGGTGAGCAGGTACTTTATTACAATTATTATAAGCTTAAATGCTTTTAAACATTTTATGTGGCAACATAATCCTTTAAAAGTAGAATTAGCTTAATGACTGTCCTATACAAATACATTATCCTTTTTATTTTGAAATTAAATCCAAAGTGTTTACCGGGGCCTCCACAGCTCTGCTCAGTATGGACCTACAGTAATCACTTCTTTATTCTTCTACCCCTCTCCTTTCTCATCTTTATTCTGTTGCTGCAGCACACTGCCCAGCTGATCCTCAATAGGGCAAAATAGCTTCCACTGTGGGCTCCCCAACCTGAGATGCTTGTTTGAGTACTGCCGTCTCTCATTTCACTTTCAATTCATTCCTCTCAGAGGCTATTATTGTTGGTTACCTTTCTAAAATAACCATTCACTACGCCTTACCTGTTTTAACTCATGGTACTCCCATCTGAAATTGCTGTTGGTTTGTTTGTGATCTGCCACCCCAAATAGACTATAACTTCCTTAAGAAGCTTATTCCTGTTGGGTGTAATGATTCATGCCTTTAATCTCAGCACTTGCAAGGCAGAGGTAGACAGATCTCTATGAATTAGGGGCAGTTTGGTCTACATAGCAGGTCCAGGACAGCCAGAGCTATATGGCAAGACACTGTCTCAAACAAGAGAGGAGAGAGAGGGAGGGAGGGAGGGAGGGAGGGAGAGAGAGAGGGAGAGAGAGAGAGAGAGCTTACCCCTCTTATTCACTGTTACAGGACTATGCACAGAGGAGGTATATTCTCAGCATCCAGCAACTGGATCACCTCTTGTAATATGGATAAAGACAGAGTAAAGGAAAGAGCCCAGCAGAGAACTCTAGAAATGATGGAATACATGTGTTGGCGACTTTACATAGTTATCCAGGGCTACAGTGGCCAACAAATTCAGATACCAATTTCCAGATGAAAGGAAATAGCACTTCATGGGATCAAAAGCTAGAGCTCTAGCCCTATACATTGCTTTGAGGGCAGTCACCCAGATCCCAGCTTCCTTTCCTAAAATTAGAAGCCTATAACATCTACCTTAAAGAGTTATAGTAAAGAAATCATGAGTTCATGTTCACGTGATTTATAATTTTTAGAGTATCTAATTATATTCAACTTAAAATATAGTAACCCTTCATATGGGCCCACAGACTACCTCCCTCCTGATGCCTACACTTCCTACCTTACCCAGGTCCTTCATCTTCTTTGAAGGATGCCAAGGACATTTCTCAATACTTTAGGAATATACAGTCAGCATTTTGGAGATTTAATTATGGGCTAACCATAGTAAACATTAAGTTCTAATTTGAGCATTAAAAAATATATATATATATATACCAGAAATCCTAGAAGCTCTGAGTTGGACTGGCTGGCCCTTATCAGTGTGCATCACCCCTACACTCCTTGTCCTCGGGAAGGAAACACAACTAGTGTGGGCTTCAGAGGCCACCCCTCCACTGTTACTTACAGTAGTATCCTGTCCTGCAGGGCTGTGACTATTAGACTGAGTGACATTTAACTGCCAAGATATAAATATTTCCATTATCTAAACTGGCCAAAGAGTTTCAAACCTTAAAAACTACTTGCTATGCTGGCTGGTCTTTATTGCCAACTTGACGCAAACTAGTCTATTGTGGATATAACCATGTTTTTGTTTCGGTCCCAGGTGTGGGATGTGGGACTGATTCAGATGGTCCACAGCAGCAGATTATTTGCCTCATTCCGGCTCTGGGAGCAGCTCTTTGCCAGCTGCAGATAGTTTAAATCTAAGGACTCTGGAGAAAGAATAAATGCCAGAGCCCAGAGAGTGTGAAGGAAAATGCTGCTCCTGCTTCCCCCTTGCTGTTGTGAAACAAGCAGTTAGAGATCTCCTGAAATGAGAATTGGACTGGTTGCATGGAGCCTAATGACCCTAACTAGCAGGAGGCAGCTAAGAAAACTGTGCCACCTCTGCCACTAACCCTTTCTCTCTCTTACCTGGTGTTGGGGGGTGCTGGAAGTGATTGGACTGGAGTAGGGAGAAAAAGATATAACAAATGTAAATAAAAGCTTTTTTTGTTGTTGTTTTAAGTATGCCTACAAGGATCACCTGGGAAGAGCAGCTCTTAACTGAGGACTGCTCTGATCAGGCTGGCCTCAAGTTCATGTCTGTGAAGCATTTTCTTGATTGCTAATTGATGTACGAAGGCCCATACCCACCATTGGCAGAAAGCTAGTTGGGCATGAGAGAGAGCAAACTTGAAAGCATCTTTTCTCCATGGTTTCTGCCTGTACTTCCCTCTGTGACAGGCTGTTATCTGCCAGTGTATGATAAAGAAACCCTTTCCCCTCCAGGTTGCTTTTGGTCATGGTGCTTACCACAGCAACAGAAACAAAGAAGTATACTGGCTCTGGAGAAGATGGTACTTTCTTGCTTACAGATGTGGTATTTCCAGAGTGCACGCTGAGGGAGATCCAAGCCGTGGCAGTTGTCCACTGCAAGTTCTCTGGACAGTTTGCAGAGGTAGGCTTAGATACTAATTCGCAGTGTCAACGTTGCTTGCCTCTAAGGGCCTTCTCAGCCTCCCCTGAGCCCTCTCTCTGCTTTCCTCACATGTACTTTAGAATCATTTCCCCCTGACCACGAATGGCCAGATGTCAGTGTGTGAACTTACGGTGTTGGAAGTCAGTGTATGAACCTCTCGATAAATCACAGTGTAAGAGCAGGCTGGTGGCTGGGTCCTGATAAGGGAAGTCAATGTGTTGCTATCTCAAGATCCTAGGTTTTGAACAGTTTTGTTTATACACTTGTTTAGAGATTTGAATTCCCAAGGCCTTGCCTGAGCCTTGGAAATGCAGGTACCTTCTCCTGGACTCTTACCTCTGCTACTTTCTGTTCTTGACTTTTGGTTTGTGGTTGATATTACTGTGGCCATAGTTCCTACCTGCAGCAAGTGTCTGCTTGACTACTAGCATTCTTGGCCTCTTACTACATTATCCTGACCCTTTCCTTTCCCAGTAAGTAAGGCTAACGAAACAGTAACTAGATATGACAAACACTCAATGGTACATGCTTGGTTAAAAGTTAAATGCATGAGCCCTCCCATGAGGAGCAGACAATGAAGTGGACAGAGAACTGGAGGTATCCTGGCTCCCCGACTATGCTCTGCTATATGTTCTCCTGGTTACAACAATGCACAACAGTCTCCCTCAAGTGCATCATTATACAGTAAAGGTAGGCTATCTCACATCATGTGCGCATTTGTAAATGGCAATCTAAAACTATTAGTAACTATTTTGTTTACCATTTTTTCCTTAATGAGGTGGTTAATTTTCCTCTGGGACTGAGCTAATTTCTGCTTTGGAAAAGACATACAGTCAAGTGTCCCGTCTTTCTGAACGAACATACAGTCAGTAGCTGTCTCTTCTTCCTGCACGGTCATGTCTTCTTCAGTCTCTCCATAGTTGTTTACAGTAGTAAACAACTTGTCTGTCTGTTGTGCTGGGATCCTGGTTTGCTGTGACCTGTGGGCATTAGAGGGGCATGAATTGGGATTCACAGAAAGACACAAGAGAAGGCTAAAATACCTGCAGCTGGGGAATATAAACTTGCTTTCTAAGTTAAAGATACACAGTAAACTCACTACTTTCAGGACCTGGCACCTAAGCCCACAATGAGGTAGCTCAAAGTAAATATCTGGAAAACTTGCCACCTTGTATTAGAACCATCGCTCCTCTGCTTATAAACCATGTACTCTTAAATAAGCCATTATTTAAATGGCTTCTCTATAAACACAGGATAAAATGAATGCCTGCTTTTGCTGCCATTAGATGTATTAAAGGAGGTAATACTGATAAGTCACGGTTACAGTGAGCAGCATTTGTAATTGCATCTTTAAGGTTCAATATTATTATTGCTATTGGTTCCACAACTTCATTTCTTCATCTAAAAAAAAGAGTGTTGAGTTAGACACTTTGAAGATCCTAAGTTAAAGATCTATCTCAGAAACGTCAATGTGTAAATTGTAATTAACTAAAGAGAAAGCTTTTTGAGAGAGGGAGAACAACATGCTAGGTCTAGTGCAGACTGAGGAGTGAGTGGCTCTTTTGTTGTGTTAGCAACGGAAACGAATGTGGTAAGGAAGAACCAAGTCGAGCATTCTCCAAAAACACACCCTATACACCTTAACAACAATATAAATAATCTCTGACTACAAGGCTGATGGCAGTGTGAAGGGGTGACTGGAAGTGTGAACATAGAGAAAAGAGATGTCATGTCCTAACATCGCCAGAAAAATGAATCAAAACAATCTCGAATAAACAGAATAATGCCACCTTAAGAGCAATGGTAATTAGTTAGGAATGTCTCCCATATAAATTTCATAATCACAATGCTTTCTAAGAGTCCATGCATTGCAAACTTTTAAAAATAAAGCTTTTCGGTGTATAACTTCTTTAGTTCTTTATATATTCTGGATATCAGCCCTCTGTCAGATACAGGGTTGGTGAAGATCTTATCCCAGTCTGTAGTTTGTCATTTTGTTTTGATGACAGTGTCCTTTGCTTTACAGAAGCTTTTCATTTTCATAAGGTCCCATTTATTGATTGTTGATCTTAGAGCCTATGCTGCTGGTTTTCTGTTTAGGACATTGTCTCCTGAGCCAATGAGGTCAAGGCTCTTCCCTACTTTTTCTTCTAGAAGATTTAGTATGTCTGGTTTTATTTTGAGGTCTTTGATTCACTTGGACTCTAACTTTGTGCAGGGTGATAAATATGGATCTATTTGCATTTTTCTACATGTAGACATCCAGTTACACCAGCACTATTTGTTGAAAATGCTATCTTTTTTTCCATTGTATGATTTTGGCTTCTTTGTAAAAAATCAAGTATCCATAGGTGTGTGGGTTTATTTCTGTGACTTCTGTTTGACTCCATTGATCCACCAGTCTGTTTCTATGCCAGTACCATGCCATTTTTATTACTGTTGTTCTATAGTATAGCTTGAGATCTGGGATGGAGTTACCTCCAGACGATCTTTTATTATACAGTATTGTTTTAGCTATTCTGGATTTTTTGTTTTTCCATATGCAATTGAGAATTGTTCTTTCAATGTCTGTAAAATAATTATGTTGTTATTTTGATGGGAATTGCATTGAATATGTAGATTGCTTGTGGTAGGATAGCCATTTTCACTGTCAATTCTATCAATCCATGAGCAGGGATTTCCATCTTCTGATATCTTCTTCAATTCCTTTATTCAGAGACTTGAAGTTTTTTTTTTTTTTTTTTTTTTTTTCATTTCCTTGGTTAGAGTTACACTGAGGTATTTTATGTTATTTGTTGCTATTGTGAAGGCTGTTGTTTTCCTAATTTCCTTCTCAGCCTATTTGTCTTTTGTATACAGGAGGGTTTCAGATTTTTTTTCAGTTAAATTTGCATCCAGCCACTTTGCTGAAGATGTTGATCAGCTGAAGGAGTTCCTTGGTAGAATTTTTGGGGTCACTCAAGTATACTATCATATCATCTGTGAATACTGATACTTTGACTTCTTCCTTTCCAAATTGTATTCTTTTGATCTCCTTTAGTTGCTTTTTAACAAACCAAGTAGTCCAATTTTAAAAATGGGGTACAGAGCTAAACAGAGAATTCGAAATAGAGGAATATAGAATGGCAGAGAAACACTTAAAGAAATGCTCAACATCCTTAGTCATTCGGGAAATGCAAATCAAAAAGACCGAGATTTCACTTCACACCCATCAGAATGGCTAAGATCAAAAACTCAAGTGAAAACATATGCTGCAATGGAGTATTACTCTGCAAAGAAAAATAGGGAAATCATGAAATTTGCAGGTAAATGGCGGGACCTGGAAAGGATCATCCTGAGTGAGCTGTCCCAGAAGCAGAAAGAAACACATGGTATATACTCACTCATATAGACATATAACATAGGATAAGCCTATTAAAATCTGTACATCTAAAGAAACTAATTAAGAGAGAGGACCCTGACTAAAATCCTCAATCCCCATCCCAAAAGGCAAAGAGGAAGGATATCAGAAGAAGAAGAAAACAGGAAACAACCTAGAAACCTGCCACAGAGGGTCTCTGAAAGGCTCTGCCCTGCAGACTATCAAAGCAGACGCTGAGACTTATGGCCACCTGTTGGGCAGAGTGCATGGAATCTTATGTAAGAAGTGGGAAATAGTAAGTTCTGGAGAGGACAGAAACCCCACAAGGAGAGCAACAGAACCAGAAAATTTGAACACAGGGGTCTTCCCAGAGACTGATACTCCAACCAAGTACCATGCATGGAGATAACCTAGAACCCCTGCACAGATGTAGCCCATGGCAGTTTAGTGTCCAAGTGTGTTACATAGTAATGAGAAGAGGGACTGCCTCTGACATAAACTGATTGACCTGCTCTTGATCACCTCCCCCTGAGGGGGGAGCAGCCTTACCAGGCCACAGAAGGTGACAATGCAGCCACTCCTGATGTAATCTGATAGACTAAGATCAGAAGGAAGGAGAGGAGGACTTCCTTTATCAGTGGACTTGGGGAGGGGCATGCGTGAAGAAGGGGGAGGGAAGGTGGGACTGGCAGGGGAGGAGGGAGGGGCTTATGGGGGATACAAAGTGAATAAAGTGTAATTAATATTGCTGGAGAGAATGTGGAGAAAGGGAAACCCTCCTCCATTGCTGGTGGGAATGTAATCTTGTACAACCACTTTGGAAATCAATCTGCTGCTTTCTCAGACAATTAAGAATAGTGCTACCTCAAGATCCAGCTATATCATTCCTAGGAATATACCCAAAAGATGCCCCACCATTCATTAAGGACATTTGCTTGACTATGTTCTCAGCAGCTTTATTCATATTAGCCAGAATCTGAAAACAACCTAGATGCTCTTCAAAAGAGGAATGGACACAGAAATTGTGGTACATTTACACAATGGAATACTACTCAGCAATTAAAAACAATGAAATTATGAAATTTGCAGGCAAATGGTGGGAACTAGAAAAGATGATCCTGAGTGAGGTAACCCAGAAGCAGAAAGACACATATGATATATACTCACTTATAAGTGGATATTAGCCATATAATATAGGACAAACACACTAAGATCTATAGTCCTAAAGAAGCTAAACAAGGAGAACCCTAGGGAAGATTTTTAATCCTCATTCAAAAGGGCAAACAGGATAGACAACAAAGGTAGGAGAAGACAAGAAACAGGACAGGAGCCTTCCACAGAGGACCTCTGAAAGACTACCCACCAGGTATCAAAGGAGATACTGAGACTCATAGCCAAACTTAGGGGAGAATGCCTGATTCCTCATAGAAGAAGAGGGAGAAAGACTTGGAGGGGACAGGAACTTCACAAGAACAACAGAGCCAAAATACCTGGGCCCACGGAGTCCTGCAGAGACTGATACCCCAACCAAGGACCATGCATGGAGAGGAGCTAGACCCCTTGTTAAAAGGAAGCCCATAGGCTGCTCAGTTTCCACATGGGTTCCATAGTAAAGGGTACAGGGGCTGTCTCTGACATGAACTCAGCGGCTGGCTCTTTGATCACCTCCCCCTGGGGTTTGTAGTCTTGCCAGGCCATAGAGGAAGATGATGCAGCCAGCCTTGATGAGACCTGATAAGCTAGGGTCAGATAGAAAGGGAGGAGATCCTCCCCTATCAGGGGACTAGGGAAAAGGGCATAGGGGTAGAAGAGGGAGGAAAGGCAGGATTGGGAGAAGACAAGGGAGGGGGCTACAGCTAGGATACAAAGTGAATAAATTGTAATAAATAAAATTAAATTAAAAGATAAAGCTTTTCTTTCTTAAGCAGTTATAGTAAGTGGCTCATGCCTCAAATGCCAGGAAGCTCATGGAGAGGAATTATGAGTTCAAGGCCCATATGGGCTTCAAAGCAATATTATCTCAAACTATCCTTTTGCACTGATTACTTGGGTTATACATATTTACTCTTCTTTTGAGGGAAGAATTGAGGAAGGTATGACAGGATAAATATCAAGTGTTATCTTTTACTCTACGTTTGAAAAAATTACATGTAATCCACTCAGTGTCTTCTTCCAAATAACATACCCAGAGACAAGCAGGCATGCCAAGTCATGTGGATAGAGGAGCATCTCGTCAGGCCAGGGAGAAACAGCCTTTCCACAGATGAATGTGCTTTAGTAAACCAGAAGAAAGGCTGGCGGTATGATGTAACTGGAAGGCAAGTGATAAACTGGGCTCTTATCTGTCTGCTGAATGCTAGACCTTCCTTCAAGATGCATCCTAGACATTTGCTAGGAGATCTCTTTCAGAAGCAGGGATCAGAACATTCCACTCCAACTTGTCTTCTGTGTGTATAATATGTTCTTTATGATGATTCGTCAGTGGTATGTTTCCTGTGACTTTTCAAAAACTATTTAATGTTAGTTATTATTCTCCATATTTCCTCCTCTACCGTGCCCTATCTTCTCTCTCCCCATGCTCCATTTAACCATTCCTGTTCCATTGGTCCCCTTAATACC